ACATTAAAACCAAAACAATGAGCTGAAGGAAGCTAAACCGCTCCATAGAGCTCAGGGGAACTGCAGATCTGATGATAATTGTCACACTCTTTCTTTACATTACACAGTCATTTTTTTCCATTGTTAACATAAAAATATTGATTAGTGCAGCTTTAAACACTGCTTTTTGTCTGAATTAAAATGAAAATGTCCTCAACCCTGAAGCTATAATACATTCAGGAGTGTGAATAATGGATGGACCTCAAGAGCATAAAGCCTTGACTCATTTTTATTATTCAAATTTAAAACATTAACTGTTAATGAAGGTTCAAAAACTGCCAGTGCACTATTCACCATGTAAAAAGCAATACAAAGCCTCAGTTTAAAAGGTAACGATGTTTTAATCCCAGGTCAATCCAGCCTGGCATGTCAAAGGACACATTTCAACAACACTTTCTAATTTGTGTTTCCCTCTACGGAGCTGCTCTCACTAGACTTCAAATGTAATGTATCCATTAGATCTCATTAAGTACTGGTTTATTCCACAACATACTAATTGTAGGAGGTTCCTCCTACAGTTAATAAGAATTTTACAATTTTGACTTTTCCTCTCCCATCGGCCTAAATGAAGTTTCAAATATGCTTCTACCTCGACAAGAGCAACTTCTTGGAGTAAAACCGTATTCTGGCAAATCTATGGCATGAGAAGGGTCAGACTTGAAGATAATATAGACAACGTATAGTGGAATTGTTTGAGCCATAACTACACTGTACATTATGAATTCATTTTACATACAGTAAACACTGTACTGTGTTAAATTATTCACTCTGCTATGTATTCAACATGGCAGCATATGAATAAAGCCGTGCAGCAGTACAGCATCAAGCCAAGAGGACACAGCGGTGGGCACAGAGACTCTGCACTCGCTTTCTCTTTCTCTAAACAGGCTTACCAAGCTCAAGCATCGCTTTTCCTGCACTAACAGTGGCTTATCAGCCAGTGCAGGACACAGCAAAGTCTAGACATTCCTCCTCCTAGTGTTGGTGGCAGGACAGAGACAGACCACATACAGAGTAGCAAGTTAGGACCGGATGAACAGACACACAGGGAGCGTACCGTTGACAGTTTGTTAGGAGCTTTTCTTCCCTTGAAAAATGCTAATTATACTCTAATATGTAAACTGGGAGGGTGGACAACGAAAATAATGAAAAATGAGTACTCAGATGATGAATTGCGTGGACAAAAAAATGCATGTTTTATTAATATTTTACATTTCAGATACTGACAAAATAGAAATATGTATAAAAACCAAATGGACATATCAAACAAATGAAAACAAGGAATAAAGGCATGAAGGGAAACAAGTGGGAAATGATGTTGATAGGGTTGATGTGTCACAAATAATTTGGCATGATATGACTGTTAACATGAGACAGGAGAAAGTGAACCAACACAGAATAAAAACAAGGAACTGTTGGTGCAGAAAAAGCTTCTCTCACAGCTTCGCCAGTCTATCTATCGTGAATTCAAAAGACTATTTTTACACACTTTATACACACAAAATACAGTTCAGACTAGACACATTATAGCTTCACCTGTGTCTCACTTTATTCCGTACACACAAATAAAAAAGCTTTATAGCTGTCTTGTTATTTAGGTGTAAACACAAAAGAGCTGTTTGTCTTTCAAACAGCAGCTCCTCCACTGCTCGATATAAGAGCACTGTGGCTCACACTGCAACTCTATCAGAACCGTAGTTATACGTCTTGTAAACAACAGTTGCTCTACAACTCTTCAGGCATCCTTTTATATCCCTAGCTGTCAGAGGGAACGAGAGAGGCGCTCTGTGAGGAGGACGACGAGGCTGGAAACTCTGAGTCTACGCTTCTTACAACTCCTGCTCGCTTCCTACCTCATAGAGGAAGACCCTGAGTCGACATATACTGCACAGGAACAAAATACTGAGGTGTAGATTGTGATTGTAAAACAAAAAATTAAAGTGAGAAAATAGATAACATAAAAAATATATAGTGAATATTATCTTTGTTGCTTATTTCAAGAGAAAAATGTCTGATTTGTTCATTTCTGTGAGGTAAATATGTATAAGCTTTTCAGCCAACTGCACATTACTAAATCACAATTTAAAAGAATACTTTATTATTTGCTTATTATTTTCCCCCCAGAGAGAGTTGAAAGGACTGACAGCATGCTCATGTCTGCACGCTAAATGTGAAGCTACTGCCAGCAGCTGGTTAGCTTAGCACAAAGACTGGAAACAGCTAGCCTGGCTTTGTCCATATTTTTTAACTGGGCTAAACACATCCTCACTCCGACTCTGTACTTAAAAACAACAATGTAACTTTTGAAAGATCAAATAACACCTTCTTCCTCTCAGAGATAGCAAACTGAAATCATAAGCAATAAAACATAACCCTGCTCAACACACTCAGACATTACTGGGTCTGGTATGACCAGCAGCTTATGGTGGCTAAACCTACATAGATATTGCTGCTTAACTGACATTACTGAGTCAGTTTGCTGCCTTTTTGTCTATTCTTGTGCTACTATTACACTATGTTTTAGCATCTATTATTACGGCTCAATTACCACTTGTTGCCCCAGTGGCTGCTGTTCAGCAATCGTAAAGATGTCATAAGCTACATTTGCTTTGTTAAAAAAAAATCTGCATTCTGCCAGCCATCACTTATTTATGGAGTATAAGAGTGTTCAGTCAGTAACAAGGCTCTCCCAGTCCCTCCTCTCTGCAGGAAACAGAGAATACATTTTTGGTATCCCGTTCCCTTTTATCTAAATCAGGACACAGAACTCCACAAAGAGGACAGTTAGCCAAAATGCTGATTTCACTTACAGCACCTTCAATGAGCTCGCTCTAACACTCAGACATGAGACCGACATTGATCTTCTCATCTCACTCGTTGAAAAGACATAAACTAAACACATTCCCCCAAAAGTTGAATTATTCCATTATCCTGCTTTTTCATTTGATGAAATCATGCTAGTGTACACTAAATTGTCAACCTATTTTAAGGATATGTGAACCTCTGACTGTAGTGTAAATACAGATTAACCCATACACAACAGTCAACAACAGGCAGCAGACGGATAGAGCAAGCAACACGGCTTCTGTCAGGCAGAGGAAGAGTTTTGGTGGGAGTTTGGGGGTGCAGGCACAGGAGAGGGGGATTCCTGCAAGCCAAAAGCCAGCTGGGCAGATCCTCCTACCACGTTTATTTCGCTTTTAGTGGCCAGAGTGGGCAACTCGATGTCCGGGCCGGCTGTCTGGACAGATTCATCCGCGGGCAGGAAACCTCTTCTGTCGATCAAGCTGTAAAAGATCCAAGTTGTTAGGTGACATCTCATGTGCCTTTAGTGACTGATGCACATTGAACATCATGAAAAAAGGTGGTTAAAAAGGCATTTTGAGTAAGAAAATGTACATGTAATGTAGAGCTGTAACAATTAGTTGATTAATCGATTAGTGGTCGACTAGCAACTGTCAAAAGTGGTCAACTGTCATTTATTAAGATAAAATGTCCAAATTCTCTGATTTCAGCTTCTCAAATGTGAGTATTTTCTGCTTTCTTTAGCCTCGTAAACTGAATATCAATGGGTTGACATTTAAGGACATCACCTTGGGCTTTGGAAAAGAGTGATCAATATTCTTCACCATGTTTGGCCCAAACAACTAAGTTAGGAAAATAATAGTCAGATTTGACAATAATGAAAATAATTGTTAGTTGCAATTTAACAAGTCTCCATTTTGCATACAGACAATGCAGAACTCACATGGGCAAGCATATGCAACTCAGACACATCTATCAAAGTAAGACTGCACACTTGGGTTGAGGAGCAAGTTAAATGAAGTATTTATTCATTTTGGAGATTAAATTCAAGTGTGAAAAAAAATGTAGCACCGTGTGTTTGATTAATCAAATGTGTCCCTGATTGAGAACCTGGCTTTGGGTTTTACCTCCTAATCTACAGATGCATTGTTGCCGTGAGCTATGGTGCTGTTTGGCGAACAGAATATAGAATAGTTGTGGCTACACCTTCATTTGAGCACTGTCCAATGCCGCCAGTTCTGAGTGAGTTATATTTAGAGTCACATGGAGCCGTTGCATCGTTGCATCACAGTAACAACAGCTAGTGACTGAATGTGTCTCAACATGTATTACAGCCTCATACTCACTGCACCTGTCGATGCATTTGTAATCACTATCATAGAGCCAGGTTGGGGCTAAATGAGTGTTAAAAAAACCAAAAGAATAATCATATTAAAAATAAAATGAATTAAAAAATCTATTTGTCATAAAAAAATTATTGATAGATCAACTAAAGCATCTAGGCATAAATATTATGACATCATGCAACATTGAAGGCAGTCTGATATTTACATGCGAATACAGGACATCAAATCAAATGTATTCTGTTTTTGGATGAGATATGCTAATGCTAACTGACTTAGTGTTTAGGTCTTAATCATGCATGGATTCCTTTAGTGACTTCATACTGTATGTGATATTTCAGACTTACCTGGGTGGCATGGGTCCGCAGAGCATAGTGCAACAGTTGATGAAGATGTTTTTATGACTGTATGGGTTGGTGACATCTTCGCCACTCTTCCCTGACCAGGAGCCTTTGATCTGGAACGGACAAAATATAAAACGTACTTAGTGTGCAACATTTTGCAGTTTTTGTGTCGATCTAAATGTGACTTTCGGTTGAGAATGTCTGCAAGGTAGCTCTTGCTCTGATTTGGAAGTATTTGTAGGCTCCCAAAGAAATGAGAGGCTTTGCGCTAGGCTCATCTATCTTGGAACACCTACATTTTGAAGATGGTTAAAGATATGAGCGACATAAAGTAACAACTTAAGTCAGCTAATGTTAGCAAAACTGAGTAGCAAAACTACATCATTCATAAGCAAGCTAATCTACATCAATTATTAGCTAGCTCGTTTACAGCCTCCAGTAGTTAGCTGGTTAGCTGATGTTTTTAAATCATTTCCCCCTGGGATTATTAAAGTATTTCTGATTCTGATTCTGATTTTGCTAACAATCAAATTTTAAATTCTATTCAAATGTGATATTAGAGAGTGTAATTAATGTAATATCACTTTTATTTTAACTGTAACTGTAGTGTTACTTTAGGCAGTACTCACGTCTTCATTAGTGGTCAGGTTAGAAGCAACCAGGTATGTATGGAAGCCTGAGAGGCCCAAGATGGACCAGACTGAGAAGAAACATATCACCAGCTCCACCGCAGTGAAAGGTTGGGTCAAGGAGTACATCCGGTACATTGGAGGAGGGAGACATGAATAAAACCATACTCACTGACAGAATTATCTTGCTAAAGAACTCTGTATAACACATTTGTGATTAAAGGATATCTGCCCGGACTCTCTTGCAGAGCAAACACCAGGCCTTTTCCCCCTTGAGCCCCTGAAAGAGAGGAAAAACGAATACTGACACAAGGCTCAATGTGTGTTTCCAAGACCATTAAAAAGAAAGTGTGCTGTCGTTTCCCAAAGCAGCAGTTGCAGTTCATTTTCCTGATGTGGGAGCAGTAACACCAGAGTCAATCTCAAATCTGTTCATTTTATACCAACTCTTTAGGGCTATTGGCTGAAATATAACTTAGTGAGTGGTCAAATGGAAACCAGTAAAGAATGCCAGCCAGTTACAGAAAACAATAAACCATTCAGTATGTTTTTCTTATCAGACAGCTAAACTGCTCTGATGTGGTGAACCCCGCCCGTCTGGCAGTCCAGGACAAACAAAGCAAACACTAACAGTTACTGGCAGGTGCTGTTCGAGCCAGGTGCGCTGGCAGTTATTATCAGCAGCTCCCTGACTGCTTTCCAACACCTGTGAACCAGAGAAAAAACACGTACTCAGCGCTAGATGTGTGGTCACACAGCCGAAGATGAACGCCGTCAGGAAGGAGAGCGACACGATGAAGGTGTAGAAGAAACGATAGTTGCGTTTCCCCACACAGTTCCCTACCCAAGGGCAGTGATGGTCGAATCGCTCTGAAAGAGAAACACTTCAGCAGTTTTGAAACTACACAGTTACAGTATGTCATTCAAGTCAGTCCAGCCTGAACTAGAGTAATGCAGTTATGTTCACTGTAGCCCTATGAGGCCTCCGTTCATTATTTATCATTGGTAAATGTCAGGGTGTCGATGTGTGTCTGCAGCTCACCCACGCAGTTGTCACACAGGCTGCAGTGGGAGGTGCGCGGAGGCCGGAACATCTTGCAGGTGAAGCAGTACTTGAGCTTCACCACCTGCTGGTTGATGAGGACTTCCTTGGTGCGCGGCGGAGGCCGATAGCTGGTGTTTCCAGTGTTGTCTACAGGAGGAGAGGAAAGGAAAGAGAAACAAAAGGGCAACGTGAATGTGATTCACTCAGTCAATTGAGCTTTTATTATTAGCACCTTGCCATTTAAAATATACTATAACTACTATACAGACTTTTTAGAACAGAAATGGTATATTCTTTAAATGACTTCCACTTTAAAGCCAGCCCCTACACACCCATGGTCCACACACACACACACACACAGGTATTATCCTTATTTTGCTCGATCAGAACTCTTTTCAGGACCGTGGGAGCGTGTACAGAGTGAGCTTTGTTGCCCCCATTAAAGTGCGCTCACATCAGATTTCACTCCCCACTGAATTCTGTAAGGAACGGGGCGAGACACATTCGCTTCCAGTTGTGAACTGACCCTTTTTCACAGCAGTCATTTGGAGATTTTAAATAGTAGGGTAAACAGGTGTTACCAATGACATGCATTAAGGTTCAGTTCCATTCAGGTCAAACTCAAAGTCAGGGCGCTGCTACCGCTGCAACCCTAACCTCCACATTGTCGGACAATACCACAACCACAGCACACTGAAAGTAGCATTCTGACTTATTTGAGTACACCGCAGATTGAAATTCTACAATTTTCACATGCTGTGTCCTTTTAAACTTTCACTATCAGTCATTTAAACGATCCTAACACAGCAGTTCAGAGAATAATGAGTCAAACTAAATGTCCAATGCGTTTCCTTAAAGATAGAGCAGCAGGTAAGTATGCTATACTGTGTCAGAGTCTTTGTTTCAAAAATAGCAGTGCAGTTGGGTAAGATAAACATCTTACATCACCACTGCCTAAACTTTGGTCATGAGTAGGAGTTAACAAGGTGCACATGAAGCCAAGTTCAGACGCGAAGGTCATTATATTGAAGCATGCTGAAAAGGAAAGATACTGCTGGCAAGACTTAAAACTGACAGTGAACATGACTGATGGGCCGCTTCGAACAGGACTGGCGGTGAACAAAGACAGATTGGGGGAAAGGAATCTGCGCAGGACCTTGTCAGGGGGAAAACAAATCTCCCAGTCCAAACTTTACAAGTCACCAGGACACATTTCTTCCAGAAACACTGACCTAATGGCTGCCAACTGACATTAATACATATGGTAAATTAGTCTTCCAAAAAAAAAAACAATCTACTTCAGTGTGTCAAAGGCTTCATCACCATTAAAATGAACTGGCAACAGAATGACAGGTTCCACTAGAAGTTGCCTTATGTGTCAGTTCCAGAGTAAAACAGCCGACGCCAGCAGAACAGTGACTTCAGTCTCAACTGTGGATTGTGCTCTGAAGCAAAATAAACTGCGTGAAAGCTCTTATGACAGTGCCACAAATAGTACGTCCTTGAAGTCGGACATAATTGAATGCCACTGAGTGGAGGGTAACGTATAAAGAAATGAGCTGAGCTTAAGCAGTTTGAGGCCACATGGAGAGTTCCAGTGCCAACACTGGTCTAAACTCAGTGCCATAAACTGGCAGGCACTCTGGGCGAAAACAGTGAACACTACTTTATGATGCTGGACATCAAAGTCAAAAGCACTTGAGACAACCATTTCAATCTGACTCCACCTATGATTGAGCTGGCCCTTACCGATCTGTTTCTCAATGTCTGCGGCCTCATCTGGCGTTGCTCTGGGCAGGATGCCGGGGTCAGTGAAGCTGGTCTGGAGCAGGGTGATGACCACAAATACAAAGAGGCCTCCACCAATGACAGGTATGCAGCTGGTCAGGTGTTTGACCAGGAACGGACAGCTGTGATATGGGGCAGCCACAGACACAGAGTAGGAATTACCAAGATGTGCTGACCATAACAAAGGGCGGGAAGGATAGGGGGGGGGGGGTTGTCTCC